GAAAGGGGGATCGAGCGATGCTCTCCCTGGCGATGTGCGTGTGTGAGCGTGTGGCGGCGCAGGAGGGAGAGATCGAGGGAAAGAGATGCGTGGGATTCGATCGGGCTAGGTTTAACAGTGCGCCGGATGGGCCTGTGGAACGGGCCTTAGAGGCTGGGCCGACCTGGTTGGTGGGTTGCAAGGCTGATGGGCTTCTTCTCTCCCTCTACTCTTTTATTTTCCAAAACAGAAAATACCAAAGAGGAAAAGAAGAGGAAAGGAAGTGTTTGGGATAGCATTTACGCATGGGGATAATTTTCCCGGACTCGCAAAAATATTCTCGTTCCAAGAAAAGTAGAAAGGCCATGATTGAAAGATTTAAATTCAAACTCATTTGAATTTAATTCAAATTGGTTTGAACTAGGACTTGATAAAAGGAAGGTCCAAAAATATTCGGATTTTTGGTGGAACTCTGGAAAATGATGAAAGAAATTATGGACAAGGTTGGAGACCAAGAATTGAGATAACAACGGCATGGGATATTTTGCAAGTGTGTTATGGTGAATTCCAAATAAATGAAATAATTTTATTATAGCTCCCTAATAATAGTAGGAGACTTTGAATATGTTTTAAAGAGAAATCACCATGTGATTATCCCTCAATTTAAATAGATCAAAGATCTATGCAATTTATTTAGGTGAGTCATAAAAAGGGGCTGCATGATGACATGATGCAATGCAAGAGATGACATGAAGAATGCAACAAACAAATACATCACACGGCGAAACTCGAAAAAGCTGGAAGTCTTCTGGAGCGTCGGTCTCGGGGCGTTACAACACTCCACCACTACAAGAGGATCCCGTCCCGAGATCTAGGATGGCACCGGAGAGAAACGGAAGAGGAAGAGAAGAGGTAAAACTAAGTTGCTTCTTCTACAAATAAGTGAAACCAAAGAACCTTGAGAGGTTGAGCAATTTAAAAGAAAGAGTACAACAGAGATGAATGAGATTGCGAACAATCCGTTAGAAAAGAGGAACAAAGAACATTACGAGGACTTGAAGGTTGCAAAGGCATGAATCAAGAGTTTAATGGACAAGATAGAATTGAAACCACTCTGGTTGAAACGAGATAAACAAGGAACAAGGACGATCAAATTCAGACAACACTCCAGTTGAAAAGAGATGCAAGTGGGCGAGTGAGCAGAGAGAGTGGTGGGTGGACACGTATTAAAGGCCTAGAATCCGAAACGGCTGGTGTTACTCAACGCACGCTCACCACGCTGTCGGCTGCAACGCACGCTGAACAGACGACGTGGCTAACAACATATAATATCTGTGGCCGATGCTAGTCAAACAAATCACCAGCACTAGCCCATTGGTATTGAACGCATAGTTACAACCAACTGGTCCTGGGTTCGAGCCCCAGGCCAGACTTTTTTTGTGCAGATTTTTTTTCTAAAATGAATTTGGCAGTAACTTGTGAACTGTAGAAATGGCAATGTAAAACAAATTAAAACATGCACCTAAACCTTTTTGCACATTGTGACATCTGCTAGTTGGACCAGGATTCTTCACATGTTTGACAATAGCAGTAGCTTGCAATGTTGTATCCTCTTCAGAGGCACACTCTATTTCCATTTGTTGAACAGCTTCAGCACTCCCATCTGAATGAACTGAATCCTCAGAACAAAAGCCAGACACTTCAGTGTCTCCTTCAAAGTGGTTCAAATATGCCTCTCTTTGAATCCTGCTCCTCTCAAGCTGAGCCTTTCCATCATCTATCTGATTCTGAAGCTCATATTGCTCCACAACCTTTTTCACACAGCAGCTCTCTTGAGTGTTTATGTAATTTTCATTACCATGTGTACTAATTCCAGGTTCAACATTTCTCACAACCCTTATGTTCACTAGCTTGACATGATGAAAAAAGTCCAACATTTCATGAACACTAGCTTCATTACCTAAATACTTTACTCTTTCAGATCCAATTTCCTCCTCCTTCACATAGTACATGTAATCACTGTCCCCATACCCATCACTAGCAATGAGTGATTGTAGAGTAAGCAAAGATATATGTGACTCAAATATACCCCTTTTCACAGGGTTTCTTCCTTCTAAATGAAACCATATCTCCCACTTTTGGTCAGCCAAACTGCACAAATAAGTGCTCATGAATTGAATTGAAATTGACTGAGCTATACAGTTTACTGACTCCAGTTTACTACACATGTACAACTAACAGAAACAAACACATCTTACTAATTTGCCAGATTGAAGCTGCTAACCAAAGGCCTAGCAGATGATACTTGCATACCTGCAACCCATTGGCGATGACTGGGAGAGCGGTGCCTCCGGCTGCTGCGAGCCGGCCTGCGTCGAGAAACTGGTGCTCCCCAACCAATTATCGACTGAGCCGCTGGCCATCGGTGGAGGCGCGGGCGAGCCAGCAGCTTCCAAACTTGTGTCACCGCCGCGAGCTCCACCTCCGCCAGCGTCGCCTCCGCCAACATCGTCGCCGCCAGCACCGCCTCCGCCAACGTCGCCGCAGCCAGCGCCGCCACCCGCTGGAATCAACGAGGACATGGCGGCCGCCACCTAGTTCAGAGAGAGGGAGAGGAGGGAGAGAGTGAATCGATAGGGGAATGGATCAGATCTTGACCCACCGCACCGACAGGCGCCGTTTCGACAAGGGACGGGCCGTTAACGGCCGTCACCGCACGGCGGCCCTCAGTTAGCCACCGTGGCAACTGATTCGCGGGCCAGGCCGGTCAGATTCGGGGTTAACGCGGTCGAAGCGAGCGCTTTCGACACTTGGTAGTTTTTTGCCAAGGTTTAGTTCAAATTTGGTAGTTTTTCGCACAAAAATGTAGAGTGGTAGTTTTCTGTCATGTTTCCATCAATTGTGGTAGTTTTTGGTTAAATACTCCTCCCCTTGCTAGAGAAAGTGCTCCTCGGTCGCTCCGCGAGCGGCCAAGAGCAAACCGGGTGCGGCAGGGCGTGGGCGCGCGCAGGCGTGACGCGGACGGCGGTTTGGCCGCGAGGGGTGTGGCGGGTGCTGGTGTCGCCCGGATCTTGCGTCAAGAAGATGCCCAGGTGGTGCTCACGGGCGCGCGAGGGCCTGGGCGGCACGGTCGGCGCACTTGAGAGGCCCGTGGCGGCACAGAAGAGCGGCTTCAAGGTGAGGATGTGGCAGATCTGGTCTCCGAAGGCCGCGGTGGCGCGTGTGGTGCGCGTGACGCGTCTGTTGCTTGGTTGCGGCCGACAACCATGGTGGGCAGTGCACCTCCGTTCCTTGTCGGCATGGTGCTCGGCAGGGCGCGGTGGTCCGTTGCGTCCGGTGGCTCCACTCTCGGTGGCCGTTCATGGATGTGGCGGTCGGCTCTTGTGTTTGGTCATTGGTGGTCTCCACGAGGTGCAGTTGGCTGCAGAGTCAACCTCTGCGTCGACGGGCTGGTGCGGTGGTGGTGTTTGGTAGGCTTGCCGGCGTCAGTGCGGGATGATGTGCGACTGAGGTGGTGTGGGTGCTTGGGTAAAGATTCTGTCTCGGCCTTGTGCCATGACCAGCGATGGCGGCGGTTGTGGCTGTCGTTGACCTTCCTGGAGGCATTGCTATTTTGCTGTCGCACCCCTCCCGCACGAATCCGGCCATCTCGGCCTCTCCAGGGGAAACCCTTGATCTTGTGATCGGACGATGGCGACGTCTTGGTGTCTTTTTCCCCCTTGGGTTCGTCTCAGAGCTCGGCAACGGCAAGCAGGACCAATGGTTGGCGGCGGTTGTGGCGTCTAGGCTTCTGCGACAATGATGATGGCGAGAGCGATGCTGGCGATGGTTGAGGTAGTCGGCTCTTCTCCGGCGTGTCCATAGGATTGCCTCGATTTGTTTTGCTGCTCTGAAGTCAAAGTTGCGATGGCGGGGGCCTGTGATATACGATGACTGGCTACAAGTGGCCCGTTCGGCGATCTTCCGTGGCGCCAACCATGCCTGGTTTTCTCCTTCGTAGTTCTCTGTCAGAGTCAGAGCTGCACGATCTGGTCGCAGGTGAGTGAGTGTGGCGCAGATTTTCTTTCATCTTCATACAGTCTCTACAATGTCGGTTGAGTCGATGATCACCTACAACAAAATCGGAGTAGTTTGCTCAGAGTTTAGGGATGACGATCACACCTCTAGGGGAGGAGTGTTGACAATGACGTCTGCATGCTGGCTCGGCAAGACCCTCTTTGGAGTGGTGTGCGTGGTGTATCTTATGTGTGCCGTTCAGCGGTTGTGATGGTTTTTGCCCGGTTCTGGTTTTCGCTCGGTTTTCCACAACTCTTCTCTTTTTAATGAATGCAAGGTAACTGTCATTTCAAAAAAAGAAACAGTCTCCCACTAATACTGAAAACCACGGTTACGAATAGCTAGAGTTGTTCGAGGCTGCCAAGATAATCACAGCAATACATAACATGGCAAATGCAGCATAGGGGTCAAGTCAACAAGAATGTCACAGATCGATTTATTCGCAATTTACAGGCGATGACATCCGTAGGTTCAGTTTGGCCAGCCTCCCAAATAGCATGCTTGCCTGAAAACCATCACGTGAAAAGGAGTCAGTCGCACAGTGAAGTGTGGGTTTTGTGGTTTCAAAAGCTTGAGAAAAATATACGTAGATGCTATTCTTCACATTATATAACAGAAAACGAACTAGGCAAAGAGGTGAAATTGATTAGGAAAAGCAAAATGCAATTTGGGTATGTTTGGTAAATAGCAGTTCTACACAGGCTCTAGAAAATCAGTTTGACAGCATTCCTAATTGAAATGTACAACGCTGCCAATGTGCATTACGTTTCTTGCATCTGAAACTGTAATAAGATACTTCATAAATTAAAATGAGAAGAAAGAAATATTTTCAAGCATGACAATTATATTCCTGAAATGCAAATTGACTTGACGTTTCTGCTTCTTGCAATATGAAGTAATGCCATACAGAAATAACAATAAAGAATAAAAATACCAACATAGAGGGATGAGGAAGATGAACATCTTCAAATGCGAGACAAGCAAGCCTTGTAGTAGGGTATGACATCTGCTTCTGCGCGGGAGAGAGCACCCAAAGGAGTAACAGTAATCTGGAGGAAAACAAGATACTTATCAATGGATTCCATCAAAGATACTGTATGGTAGTTAGGTCATTCTTACATATCCATCTGCAAGGGATTTGTAGTCCATGTCCTCCCCTTCCTCTTCATCATAACTTCTCTTTACTATCTGTTCAAAACACGATCAACGAAATTAATGTACAAATATGAACTCATCATTTTAATTCCGAACACAATCTGTTTAGTTTCAGTTAGCATAAGAATAACAACATCATATTTGATATCGATAAAATCTCCAGACATCCTCAATAACATGAACAGCAATTATCTATTTTTTTTTAGGGAATGAACAGCAATTATCATTGTGTAAACAAGGACTACCAAGTGTGCTCCATCTTTATATGGACTACCAAGTAGTCTTACTGAAATTTGCTATAAGCAGTCCACAGTATGACAGTAGACCAATATCAAACACCAGGAAAGCAGAAGAAGTAGGACTTCAGGACATGAAAATACAATTTAATACCTGAAAACAATTATGCTGCATATCTTATTGAACTATTTTTATTAGAAGGCTAACTATCAGATTCAGATTAATGTGGTTGGAGAAAATCAGAATGAAACATCAAACATATGTGAAAATTACCACTCTTTTAAACAGTAGGTCATTCGCCGATGAAGTGTCTATATCTCTGTCCTTTTCACCGTCAATAACCATGCTTGCCGTCTGGTAACTTTCTACGGAAGGCTTTTGGTAGACTGTTTGCTCCCATCCAATTCTGGCCATATATTTTCCTTGCTTTGTAATTTTGTATCCCTACTGACAGGAACATAATGTAAATATATCTAGATCTCTACTCAATGAATATCAGGAGCACACATACTTTATTTGGGCAAGTGTGCGGTAAGGAATCATGATGTTTAACATTCAGTGAAAATCGGGAGATATATCAATCTTGGCAGTTACGATTCAAGATAGATAATTCATACTGGTAAGGCAAGGTCTACCAATAACCAAATTGTTTCATCTTGAATGCCAACAATTTTCATGTAATAACACTTTTAACGCCAACAAGGTCTACCTTTGGCATACTCCACAGTTTTGTCCACAAAATTGTATAGATCTGTAGTCCGATTGTTTTCCCTTTAAACGAACAAACTGTAAATAGAGAAGTACATAATTTACTACAAAATCAATGTCAGTAGATATACCTTGTGGTGTGCAGCATCAGATGGCACATCTATATTCAGGAATGATCCTTTAGGGTAGGTTCCACTCTTGATCTCGAGCATGACAGCATTTATCAGAGGGATACAAACCTCTGCAGCCACTTTGAGGTCATTAACACTGCTCTGACCAGCAACCCTGAAAGTTACAATTAAGAGATCGTCAGGTAGACCCTACTATCACTTATTAACTTAGTCAATCACTTGCATAAATTTGAGCCATGGAAGGTGTGAATGAAATTTGAGCATATATGGTGGCCAAAACTCACCCTACCAATTTTCTGGTCACTGCCAAAATATTGGTCTATGTTTGGATGGTTGCCAATTTGGGCATGCCCTGCCTATTTGCCCACTCTAGTTCATTTTTTCTTGCGTGGACGAATTTTGGCTAGCCAGAGATTTGGTAGGGGAAGGGGAGCCTTGGCGCAGTGGTAAAGCTGCTGCCTTGTGACCATGAGGTCACGGGTTCAAGTCCTGGAAACAGCCTCTTACAGAAATGTAGGGAAAGGCTGCGTACAATAGACCCAAAGTGGTCGGACCCTTCCCCAGACCCTGCGCAAGCGGGAGCTGCATGCACTGGGGCTGCCCCTAGAGATTTGGTAGGGCAAGCTTGGGATAAAACTGAAATAGCCAAAAACTGGTGATAAAGCTTTTATAGACGAACACCGGTGGATTTATGTGGAGCACTAGGAGTGCATGGGGATCCTGCCACGAAACTTATGCAGAACAATCCACGTTCCAATGATCTGAGATTTGGTTTGGAGGTCTGGAATTACCTAAAGTTCGCAAAGAGGAAATGGGAAATATTTCAAAAAACTATTGCTTACGCAAATTACTAGTGACTCCTGCTTTCTTATATCAGCCACAGCCACTTCATATGCTGAAAGATAATTATGAGGTTTTAGCCTTTCAGGTGAGCAAACTCTGCTGCTTCTTTGTTTCCACATGTTGGACAAAATCATTTATTTGTTGCACTTTTTGAAGGTTTTGAACAAATCAGAAGTACAGCAAACTGCCTGTTCGTTGTTACTTTGAAGATACCAGTATTTCAAATGATACACGATGACAATATGACAAAATATGAAGGAAAAAAACATTGAATAAATAACATAATATGAACATATAACAAATTTGTTATCAAGTTCCAGAATGTACAGATGCCTGAAACGTTTGGTTAAAATATGAATGCAATATTTGCAGTTTGCACAATAAAATGATAGTAAATACATAGAATTATATTACAAAAAAACATCGCATACCAATTGTATGACATAGATAATGCAGGAATCCCATATATAAATGCCTCCCTAGCACCAGCAACTGTTCCAGAATATACACTACACACAAAAAACACAAGTGCTCACGATTCACTGATAAGATCAAAGCAATGCAATTAAGTTGATGGTAATAATTCCAATAGACAGTTAGACTGCCCAAAACACCGCATGTGGTTCCTCTTGTTGCTTTTGACCTTGAGTGGTTTCGATTGATACTCTGGCATCGGTTAACATGAAGTAATTTTGATGAAAAATACAAGCATGTCAGTTTGGTATGCACATGCAAAGATACTTACACATGTAATCCACAATTATTGCCAATGTTGATTCCGCTAAGCACCTGCATTAAAAATGAAGAAACATGGAACCCAAAATTATTTCGGAAAAGATTATCGGTAGGTAGTTATGTACACAGAGAGCCACTTCTTACACACTTGCGTAAAACCACAAAAGAGCATAATAATCCATGAAGAAACTCCAAAACTTACCAAATCAGGAACCAAACCATCAAAGAGCTTCCCAGAGATGCCCAAAGAGGCACAGTCAGCGGGAGTTCCTTGAAATCAATAAGAACAAATGAGCATCTAACACATAATCTCGTTGAAATCCAAATACAATTAAGAATTATTGTTATATTTATGAAGAGATATTCCTCATTCATCATGTAATAAGGAAAATAACCTCTATCCAACCCCCCCCCCCCTGCGCCCCCAAGGCTATAACCCCGCATCCATCCACCGTCTGGGATTCACTTGATGCGGGCAATGTTCGGTTGTTGAATGTAGCGATATGGTTAGAGTATTGTGATAGCCATATGGTCATTCACTATAGCAATTATCCCCTAAAAAAATTAACTATAGCAATTAGGTCCGACATGTACAGTGAAACATAACAGTTATACTCCTATCATTTAATGACTTCTATCATTCAACGGGGTGATCTTTTCACATACGAATCGAACACGCCACATGACTTGGCTACATTGGATGAATCAAATCAGCTTCTTTATCTCCTTTGTTTCAATCAACCTATCAAAACCACCTTATCTTGAGTTTAGATAAACCCCTGTTACTACGGACGGATGCCACTGTCTAGTGCTTCCGCTGTTACTACTGCATAACTTAACTGGAATATTAAAAGGGAAACTAGCAGTAGCAGAGGAGCAATGAAGAAGATAGCTGACAGTATTGCACATAAATGTTAAGATCATATTGCCTCCAAGTTTCTCATGTAAAATAAAGTGTGAACAGTTCTGTTTTATGTCTATAAAGACCACAGCCCCACATTGACACTATCAAATTTGGCAAAAATATCAAAGCTTCTTGGGAAATCATGGCACCATATATAATGCTAGTCTTCTCCTAGTCTGGCATCGGTTGCAGGTAATGAAAAAAACAAATGGTATGTGCGAATAAGCTGGACCTACCACTAGCATGTGTCCTCATTTAACCATGCCAGAATAAAATAAAAGAAATAAACAAACAAAAATGACACACAGTAGCAACCAGATATCCTTCTCCCACTAGCTGACATGCTGCACTATAGTTGTCGGTGTAATCGTCTTAATTAATTAATGGTAACTTCTTAGGAGTATTAAACTGCTGTGTGAGTTGGCTCTACAACTGCGGAGCAAATCTCGAGGCAGCGACGGGACGGCAACCCATGCAATGGTATAGCCCACGGGTGGCAAAAAACCTGGCATGTATATAATATAAAAAGATGAAACTCATAAAACTAAACCAGACAAACCTGAAACTCCAAATGCTGTAGCACCATTGATATTGACATGTTTACAGCGAAGTGCAGAACGCCATGTAATGCAGTGGCTAACGCCCGACCTGTCTCTGCATTTTACGAGAAAAATAAATAAACAACATTACAAAATTGGTGCCATAAAGTGGACATTGGAATCAGTTAAATCTTATACTCACGCCTTCCTTTGCTTCACATCACACTAAATCATTTTTATTCTCCACAGCACCAAGGTTTCAGATCGATGACAACATCAGTACTTTGCAAAGAAAACCATTCCCTAAATGAACCATAAGTGCATCTTATTATCTGACATACTGTTATGCACCAATAGCACACATTCCAAATCAGAGTTGCCCAACATCATACTTTATTGAACACAACGTGGCAACTTCAATGATGAATGGTGTATTCGAAGCTAAAGTCAGTTACATTCTGCACCAGGACAGATTCCATGTTCTGCACACAGCAGCTTGCAGAAGCTGATGCCCGGTATATATAATGCTTAAAGCTATACTCAGTGCTCTAATCATGTGGCGAAACAGGTTCAGTTATGGGTTCCTTTCTTCATGAATTAATTTTCCTTATAAATTAAGAGTAAATTCCACTGTACAAATCTAGTTGTATCAACCGATATTTAGGTTGAAACAGACTTAAAAAACTTCCACCGGATTGCACCAGATTTTACAGCCGAAATCCTTATCTGAATATGGTTCAGCCTTTCACTTTGAGGGATCTTTGGTTGCTAAACGAGATGGGATGTGCTCATGCTTTTAAATCTTAATTAACCTATGTTCTTTTAACAAGTACATGGTCCACATTGGAATTTTATCCTGAACTTACCCATACGAAAAACAGTACTCAGCACCTGGAATAGTGGAATGAATTGTTCAAATGTTCAATCGCGACTTTTACTTTTACAGCATCGAAATTCACCTGTTTCTTTGAAGGTAACATTTCTTTCTGTAGTTTGACATCAATGATCAATAGGAAGAACATAAACGACAGAAAAAAAATGCATAACAAGAAAAATACTGTATCTCCCGTTCCCATGCTTTGATGCTTTTTCAGGTGCGAATGCCAAATAACATTTCCCATCCAAAATTCTTCCATTTTTTTTTTGTGTCTCTCCTAATCCTTCGACCCAAGAAATCCCCATCAGAACCAGCGCACCGTCAATCGCCGTGTGCTCCCACGGCAGAATCTTCGCAAAGCAACAAGTAACCAAGAAACAGGACGGATCGACGAAAGGGGGGTCACGAGGGTGGGTGGGGAGAAGACTGACGTGTCGGGCGCGCAGACGAGGACGCGGTAGCGCCCCTGGGCGACGAGCTGGTCGACGAGGAAGCGGAGCCCCGGCGCGTCGATGCCGTCGTCGTTCGTCACCATCACCACCGGCGCCGCCGCTGCCGCCGCCGCCGTGGAGGCCATGGAGGCAAGAGCCGTGTACGGGCGCGGGCACAGAAGTTTCCGTTTCCGTTCTGCGGCTGGGGTTTTGGTTGTTGGCTACTTGGCTGCCCCTGTTTTACTATTAGAAAATGTTACCTGCCGAACATTTGCTGGGAGGCCCCAGCGAACGCCCGCATACCCCTCTGGTCAGAATCAAATGGTGACATTTTTTTTTTCGAATACGCATGAGTGTGCATATCATGCATTAAAGAAGGGTGAGAAAAAGCTTCCCAAGGTTACACGCGTTACATCATAGATATGTACAAGCGGTCAAGCCGCATCCACCTCACACTCTTGGACTAACTACTCCCTCACTGCCCACCCTATGTTTCCCACCTCGAACCCTCTAATTGCACCCTTGAGCAGTCCCGTCTTCGCCACAAGATTCCTTCCTCGGTCATGTGCTGCATGATCCTCGCCAGCAATGGCGTCGTGCCGTTGAAGACGATGTCATTTCGATGCTTCCAGATGAGCCACATGCCAAGGAGGCTCAAAGTCCGAATGTTCCTCCTGTCTTGCTTGCTCCGGTCCTGCTTGGTGCACCAAGCCTCCAGGCATTCCTCATGTCTTGGTTCAAAAGCGTCTTTGCCTGTTCTGATACTGAGCCATCTCCATACCTGCCTCGCAAATACACAACCCACCAGAAGGTGCTGGATTGCTTCATCATGTTGATCATAGAACGAGCAGGTATCTTGATACGGTAGACCACGCCTGGCAAGTATGTTTGAAGTCCACAGTCGTCCCTTGAGTGCAAGCCAAGTGAAGAAGCGGCACTTGAGCGGGGCTCCCGACTTCCACATGAATGCAGCCGTGGGTGACACTTCCCTTCCCATGAATCTAGCCTCGTATGCAAACTTAGCCGAGAACTGGCCATCCATCGTCCAGGACCAAGTAAATGTGTCATGTATGTTTGCTGCCAGCCGCGGACACCCTCTGCCATAGTGAGAAGAACTGCTCAATGGCATCCACTGATAGGTCCGGCCCAATGTCTCCTTCCCAAGCCGCGGTGAGCACCGCTTCCTCCATTGTCTTCTTCTTCCTGATCCGGCTCGGGATGCGCCGGTAGATTTCCGATGGTAGATCGCATGTCCGGTATCCGTCTATCCATTTATCCTCCCAGAAAAGAGTTGATTTTCCATTCCCCACCCTGGCTCTAGTTGTCGCTCGGTATATTTCCATTGATTCCGCCGGTACTGATATGGAGAACTCGCTCCATGGCCTATTGCGGTCGGTCCGTTGTAGCCAAGGACATCTCGCCCGCAGGGCCTTGTTCATCCACCGCAGGTTTGGGATTCCCAGACCGCCTGCCCATCGCGGTGTACACATGGCCTCCCAAGCCACCGCACACTTGCCCCCTGGTGCTTCTTCTTTCCCACACCATAAGAACCCTCAACAGATCTTCGCCAGCGCTGCCACAATCAGAGCACAGATGTGATGAGGAGGACGCTCCCGCTCTTGGGCATCATCGCAGCAAATGATGACATTTAAAAAAAATACATGACAACTCCCTAACAAACACATGGCTTTTTTAGTTGTTTTAGCATGGCTACTCGAACATTCCCTGGCAGTTTTGCTCCCAGCGAACGTTCGTTACGTATTCGTGTCAGTTACTATTTTTCTTTTCTTTGAGGGGGAGGGGGCAGTTTAGTGTTTACTTGCCTTATTTCGAGGCAATTTATAGGAATCCTAATTTGTCAAAGTGGTTGTCAATCGGCTGATCCCACCAGCAGATTAGCTGACTCACTAGTCATCAGGTCAATCATGGATTGTTAGAGAAACTCTAGCAGAGATGCCATACAAGACATAATATATGTGGGCAATGCTTTATATGTAGATTGGCCAGGTGACGCGCAAACTCAAAGTAGTCATATCGATTATCTCCACATCTCTTCCATTTTTTATCCTTTTTCATCAAAACTCAACAAGTTATCCACCAAATGAAGGGTTGAAAACACTAATTTAAAGCTAAACATTGCATTGCGAAGTTCTTAACACGGGATGACATTTGCATACCATAGGTGCAACTTTTGAGCGACTATAGCATGATTTTGAACCACACCACGTCGATGGTGAATGATATGGACGGGGTACATGTATATGTGATGACTCAACTTCTCGTCTAGGCATGGCGGTGTGACGGTCTGGCGATCTAGTCTTCATCCCATTCCCACCATGTCGTCGTCAAAGTCGGGATGGCTTTTTCTATGGGCAAGGCCCAATATGGCGCGACCCGTCTCGACGAATGTCACCATGGTCATGACGAATTTGTGTTATCTGATGCGCTCCTTATAAATCCACATGTTTCCAAAATGGAGCCATACGGCGTGGTCCCTCTCCGTCCAACGCCTGCCCAGTGGCGGCCGGTCTCCTTGAAGAATTCGCCAGGGCAGACGGACACGAGGCGTAGGTGGCGTAATGCTCATTCCAATACGTCATTAACAGTGAGGCCGAGAAACCACATGGTGGCCTATATGAGTTGTGTAGGGGAGCTCTATCCTGGCACACTGGATTTGCACGTGGCATACTGGATATCCCGATCAATGGAGTGTGTTTTGAGATCCCAATCTGGACACTCATCGAGGGCAGGATCCTCCTGCATAGCGTCCAGCGTGTCACGTCTATCTCATTCCTCCTCCTCAGCCATGAGGGAGGCCTTCTCCTCCGCTTGCTCCTCATCCATGATATGCCTTCCCTCCTCCCCCCTAGAGTGGCACCTAGTCTCCGTCGTAGGAGAGGCAACATGGCGACGGAAGGGAAATGGAGGATGTGAACGTCGGTGAGGAAAGTTGAGGTTGTCTGTAGTTATGGTATAAGCTATCCAGACACGACGATGATCATTTTATAGCCGTGGGCAGCGGGCGGAGGGAAAACATGACAAGCGATGAGAAACTTAGCGGGAATGTTCGCGGGCATTTGATGCACGGCGACTCTCATTAATTGGCACACTTCTTGATGACATAGGCGTCTGGCCGTCTACACCATTTGCATGGAGAAAAAAAGTTGAGGAGGTTTACTTCCCTCGTGCGACACATCCTCCAAATATGGAGGCTCACATGCTCAAGGAGCGTCCAGCATAAATTATGATGACCTGAAGCCGATTTCACTAGAGTTGCTCTTAAATATAGCGGATGCGGTGAAAAAAGACTAGTGCTCCCTTGCAACCACCACACAATCATGATTTGCAGGTGACCGTATGCCAGAGCAAGGAGACCATGCGTCCAAGATTTTGTAATATAAGCACATGTTATTAAACTTCTGAAAATAATAGACTAACAAGAGCATGGACCAACCCCAATCACGATTTGCAAGTGACCGTGTGCCAGAGCAAGTAGACCATGCGTCCAAGATTTTGTATAAGGCGCTGTGATAATTTTTTAATGTGTGACAAGTATAAGTGTAATATAAACACAAACTTGTAAAAGAGTAGTGTAACAAAAGCATGGATTCTTTTAATGCGTGACAAGTATAGGTGCATTGCAATACATAAATGCTAAACACTTTTGCGAAACGCAGCAAATACGAAAAGTAATTTTGATGTGATTAGTATAAGGCGCTGCAGATGCAAAACAATCAAACAGCTTAACATTTTGACGAGTACAGTGAAAAGGGAAGCAAATGTGTTAGTATTATTTTAATTAACATTTTGACGAGTACAGTGAAAAAGGCAGCAAATGTGAGTAGTATTTTTTTAATGGGTGACAAGTATAGGTGCAAAAGCGCAGGAAATGGTAAAAAAATTTGGGTAAGATCCGCCGAAGCGGGTAGCCTTAACCGCAGTGTGCTAGAGGCTCACATGGAGGCTCACATGCTCAAGGAGCGTCCAGCATAAATTATGATGACCTGAAGCCGATTTCACTAGAGTTGCTCTTAAATATAGCGGATGCGGTGAAAAAAGACTAGTGCTCCCTTGCAACCACCACACAATCATGATTTGCAGGTGACCGTATGCCAGAGCAAGGAGACCATGCGTCCAAGATTTTGTAATATAAGCACATGTTATTAAACTTCTGAAAATAATAGACTAACAAGAGCATGGACCAACCCCAATCACGATTTGCAAGTGACCGTGTGCCAGAGCAAGTAGACCATGCGTCCAAGATTTTGTATAAGGCGCTGTGATAATTTTTTAATGTGTGACAAGTATAAGTGTAATATAAACACAAACTTGTAAAAGAGTAGTGTAACAAAAGCATGGATTCTTTTAATGCGTGACAAGTATAGGTGCATTGCAATACATAAATGCTAAACACTTTTGCGAAACGCAGCAAATACGAAAAGTAATTTTGATGTGATTAGTATAAGGCGCTGCAGATGCAAAACAATCAAACAGCTTAACATTTTGACGAGTACAGTGAAAAGGGAAGCAAATGTGTTAGTATTTTTTTAATTAACATTTTGACGAGTACAGTGAAAAAGGCAGCAAATGTGAGTAGTATTTTTTTAATGGGTGACAAGTATAGGTGCAAAAGCGCAGGAAATGGTAAAAAAATTTGGGTAAGATCCGCCGAAGCGGGTAGCCTTAACCGCAGTGTGCTAGAGGAAAGTCCGAAGACCGTTCCCGTCCCTGTCAGGGGAGATGCCAACCGTCTCTCCTTTTTACGAACACGATGCGTGAGGCAGCGCTTCCCCTTATAAACCACGCAACACACCGCTCAGGTAGCGAGGTGGGACTAAATCGCAGCCCACGCTCCGCGTCTTCACCTGCTCTGAGATTCCCTTCCCTCGATACTGAAGCTGAGGGCCGAACCTGAATGAAAAGGTACCGCTGGCGCACACTCGTCATCAAAACACAGTAGCTTTCTTCGTGGCTACGTGGCTAGCCCGTGCCAGGAATACATTATCTGGGTCAAGAGACCGTGCTTTGCAAAGTGCATCTGAAGTTCTGAACACCCAATATATAGAACTAGAGGAGCCGAGTGATCTAGGCGAGGCAGTGGTCTAATCGTCTTAAGTTCTGAACATCCAGGAGCACAGGAGTACTT